TTGTTTGTTATTGATTTTAAGTAGCTTGCAAAGTTTTTAAAAAGTCTTATTTACTGTTTATTTTAATAACAATTGTCCCTTACTTAGGGTCTTTTGTATATGGAGCTTAGCTAATTTTCATCACTTGTTTTTTTATTGCTTAATGTTACTTGGATTGTTAAAATTGTGCCGTTTTACTTTGGGCACATTTTTCAGAAATGAATGAATGTCTAACAACATATTAACATTATCGTGCTTTTATTTTGCATCTCAGATGAACAACTTAGTTTTCATTTTCTGAAACAATGAGAAATCTAGTGACACACCACTATAAATACCTTTGTTGTCTTGTCCACTATCTAAATGAGCACTTGGATAGTGGACAATACACTATTCAAATGCTCATTTGGATAGTGAAATTTAAAAGACATTTAATTTCTTTGCAGATAATACAGCTAACAATAAAGTTAACTGCCCCATCATACATTACTTTTTATCTCCTAATTATATGGAGTATTGTACTTACCCATCTTTAATTGCATGTGCATTCCCAGATGGCAAATTTGTGTTATTTAAAAAAAATGTATATTAATTCATGGAAAATGCATTCATTGTTTTCGGGATTATTGAGAACATGATTATACATCTGTGTGATTCAAAACCTTGCAATGCTCAGGATATGACAGGCCACATGTCTGCAGAGTAGAAAGCACTGTAACCTCAAAGTCTGTCTCAGTGTGAAACAACTGGCTATTACTGTTTTAATGGCTGGCCACATGAGTGAGTTCCTCCTCTGGTCCGTGGCAGGCAGACTTGCACTTGCAGTGCAATGATCCATCTGCATGGCAGAAACTATCCATCCAGTGGATAGCTACAGGCTGCAGGTTGGCCCATTGTGTTGACTGAACACTATGACTGCTCCCTCTTGTACCTCTATAATGGGATTATATTAGCCAAGTTCTTTTGCGCCCTCTTCATCGCTCTCATCCTGCACTCTTACACACACACACACACACACACACACACACACACACACACAGTCACACATATGCACATGCACACACAAACAAGCACGTCTGTCTCTAATTACCCGTGGGAACCCTATGTGTATATCTTGGCCTTACCCTAACATTAACCGTCACAAATGAATGTCTAACCCCTAACAGGTACATAAAACCTAATCATACCCTAATTCTGCTTCTCATCTTACAACCTAATATGAATCCTAATTTGTAAACGGACCTCTGTCCTATATTTTCAGTGTCATTTGGTCCTTAGTTCATTGTCAAAAGAGATTGATTTTATGTGTTATAAAATAGGAAATTTTTTCATGAAATTCAGTATGTAATTTTTTGTCAATTCCACTCTTAGTCCCAGTATCTCAAGATCTACTGTGACAGAAGGGAGTCAGATACTTCAAGGACATGAAAGGACTTGATATTTCATAAAATCTACTTTATATCCACATACAATATATCTCAGACTAACAAACTACACATTACCAAGGTTGTTGAAGCTAGTAAAAGAATATTAAACAAAGAAGATGCTTACATTTTCATTTCAGAGCATGATTGCCATCTTTCTGAGGTTTATCTTTGCAACACAAGAGGAATTTGGACACATCTAATCTTTAGTGATGAGAACCACAAGGGAGGAGCAATTTTTCTCATGAATTGAAAGGAGGTTCCATAAGCTGACATCCTTTTTGTTTTTGTAGTCCACAATGATGTGAAAAAATACACACACCGACCTGCACATTCATTCTTTAGGAGCTTAAAGCATGAATTAAAAGCCATTTACTTTTTAACTAATTGTTGCATTCTGTGTTGCTGATACAAACATCTCAAACTGCAGCAAATACAATAGTATTTTTCCTTCCCTCCTTTCTGTTTCTTTAATGATTTTCATGGGTGTGGGAGGGAATGGAGGAAGGGATAATCAGAGGAACACAGAGGGTTTCTTTTCAGGGTTTTCCTCAAGGAGACCTTGTCAAGTGTAAAATCTTGTTTAGAACCAGCAATTGTGCCGCGTTGGGCTGCGGCAGCAGGTCTAAGCTGTTCATTGAAAACCAATTTGTTAATGTCTAAATGTTGTAGTAGTTTTACCTCAAGGGCAAAGATTGATATTCAGCATAACCTGCTAAGACAGCAACGAAGAAGAATATTTACAGGAATGATACTCCAGAGGAATTATGCAAAAAAATCTCAAACATTAAAAAAAAAAAAATCTTAGCTCTTAGCTCTCCTAGTGTGTTGTTCATTAGCCTCACTTAACACAATTTGTCTGTGTTGTAAACAAACGACTAAGATATTTCTTGACAAATCTGATTTACTGTGACTGTCTCTTAGGGCCTCCACAGATTCAAAATGAAAAATCCTAGCTTCATATAGTTTGTCTTTAGAGTCTTGCATGACCGTTTCAAAAAGATTAGCTAGCCGTTAATGTTAGTTAAATACTAAATGATATGGGATTGATTAAAAGGGTCAGCCTACCAGCCCACTAAACTGCTTGGATCTGGAGGTAGCCACCATAAAATTAAAACGGGGATCAATGGCGTGTCATATCCCTGCTGCTCTGCGGGCTGAACATGTAATTCTAACCTTGAGGCTGTGGCCATCTTTCACGTCAGGCCTTCCAGCATCAGGCTCAATAACCCAGTCGCCCATGGCTACTGTCTGATGCTATCCAAGGTTCTGTATTAACAAGCAGAAGCAACCAGTAGTCTCCTTCCTCCATGTCCTATGTATATAGCTGTCACCATCAAGAACACACTAGGTTACTTTGGCTTATCAATCAGAAACTCGTAGGAAGGGTGGGTGAAAGATTTAGCGTTAAACTGAAGAACACTCAGTGCAGCATTGGTATATACCGTGTATGCACATCGGATATAGAATTATGACTGGTTCAGATAATGTGAATAACACTGTTTTTCTCTTCATATTACCTGTGGGTGGTCAGATATATCAGGCAGGAAATGAACATTTTGTAAAAATGTGACAAAGGAAAGAGGGACAGGCTTAAGAATTTGAAGAGGGGGAATTTGTGATGCTTTGCCACTGGGCCAGAGGATGTCCAAAGCTTCAGCTCATGGGGGTGTTCCTGGTCCTACAGTGGCTAGGATTTATGAAAGGTTGTTTGAGGTAGGAGCAGTGGTGAATTAGTGACAGGCTAGTGCATGGACATGTCTAGGTCGTGCTGTGGGCAATGAAGGCTGGCCCTTGTGGTCTAATCTAGATGAGCTACTATAAATGCAATTGTTGAAGTTAATGCTGGTTCCAAAAAAAATATCAGAATTTAAATTGTTCCAGTTTGTTGTGCATAGAGCTACATTGCTGCAGAGCAGTCACTGGAGATAGTGTGATAGTTTGGGCATTGCTCTGCTTGGAAACCTTTGGTTCTGCCATCTGGATGCTAGTTTGACCTGTGTAAAGGTTGGCTACAGACCATGTACATCCTTTCACAGAAAAGTAATTCACTGATGGCTCTGGCTTTCAGCCACACTGCCACAAAGTAAAATGATTTATTTGTTAGTGTTTAATTGTAATGTTTAATTGTAGATTTCACCTCCTAAAACCCAAGATCTCACTCAAATCACACATTGTTGGGTTGTGCTTGTTAAATCAGCGATATCCATCCATTTTTCTGTAATTAATAATTTATATTAATTAGTTGAAAGAAAACAAGGACAAACACACTTTCTAGTTTGTATTTGTCAGTGTCGGTTTCAGGAACTTATTTTATGCGTACATTCTTGACACAATGCAGCTACAGTAGTAGCTTGATTCTGAGATAGTGAATGTTGTATATAGTGTTGTAAATCATCATAAAATAGATTTTTAGTTTAAATTTCATGATGCCTTTCCATTGGATATTTTTACTGTAGCAGAGCAGTGTTTTAAGGTTTCTAGTCCTGCAAACTCACTTGTGGGAGAAGAAGAGGAATCCCTTTTGGCTGCGTGGTAGTTAGACCATCTGTTTGTAATCACTTGTATATCCTTGCACAGGTTCTGCTGTTGTGCTGCAACCCGTCACCAGGTGGTCAACAGCACCCAGATGTACAGTTGGTCAAGGAGCACTGGGCCTTGTGGCCCGCTTAGTGTGCTAGTGTGCTGGCAATGCTTACTCTTGAGCATCTGCTTGATTTAAACCAAGAACTTTAGTTAAACATTAAGATGAAAAATTGGACTGCTCTTTTGTTGGGTTTTAAAAAGGTGTGATAGTAAATTCTAGGTACATCCTTGTGTGCCTGCTTACACAGGAACATGTTTATTCATTCATACATGTCTCTACAGAAGAATCAAAGTGTGAGTACGTGAATCAAAAACCAGTTGAAACCAGGATTAACATTTGGAATCTCCCGGAATATTTTAAATTTTGATTCCCAGTATGCCAATTGAAGAAGCTGCTGAATCAGAATCAATAGCAAGTCTGTGCACAGCCATGGGCAAAGTGGGCTTCACTTTAATAAAACAGCTGCCCAGTCAGCTCAGTGCAACATTTGCAGATAACATACATGATGCAAAGGGGACCACCTCTGGATTTATTGTGTGGAATTCATCAAGTGTTGTGCTGACCTTCATCCGCTGCTTCTTTCCCAATATCTGACCAACTGCCTAACTTTATTCACTGTTAATGATTTTATACTGCAGCTGCTGATAAGTTGGACTTGGTTTTTGTTCCTTTTTTCTATGTTTGATTTTTTTTGCACTGGGTCTGCCCATTAGTGTGATCTCAATAAACTGAGATTTCGCCTCACTTTGCCCTTGTCCGTCATTTTGACTGACAGGGTCAACAAATTCTGTCATTATCTATATTTACCCATCAAATTTTAAAATGATAACAATGACAGATTGAATTGCATTTATTTTTCATTCAGTTTGATTAATATTCAACAATGTGAAGAGAGAATACACACATCAAGCAGATGCATGCATGTAATCAGTAAACAAATGAAATTAAGAAAAAAAAAAACACTTGTGTCCGTCAACAATGTGATTAATGTAAACCACTTGTTATTGTAGGGAATCTGGGCCGTGTAGACTACATCGGTGATTTTGAGTTTGACCTCTTCATTCGACCTGACACCTGCAACCCTCGCTTCAGAGTCTGGTTCAACTTCACTGTGGAAAACGTCCGGGAGACGCAGGTCAGGATCATCTGATCTTTTTTGTTTTTTGCCAGTGTTCACTGGGATTTTTCAATTGCTTTGTTTCCTTTCACTTCTTTGAGGTGAAACACATGCTGTGGCAAGTATTAGGATTTAAGAAAATATGTGCATTTTAATTATATCTGCACACTTAAAAAAATAACCAGATTTGCACAAATAGTAAGTTCAACACATATAGTAGAATTTCAGATAAAGTACTATATTTCTAAATGAGAAACATTTTTTTCCCCAGGCAGAGTACTTCAGTTTAGGTACTTGCCAACACAGAGTACTAAAAACAAATAGTTAACAAGCTGGTATCGTTACTTTTGAAAACTTTTTTTTAAATTTAGAACATGGTGTATATTATTTTCAATGTCTTGTCAGATTTACAATTATCCATTATATATTTTTCCATAAATAGAACAGAGTATCTGTGCTTTGATGATACCTGAAAATCCCAAATGAAAAAGAGCATGTAATTAGTTTATGATTCTAAATCAAATGAATGTTGTCTTTGAGTTTGGATTTAGGGTTTCTGAAATAGAGGTTTTTTCTGTGATCATTATAAATTAGTAGTTTTTCAGTCTAAGCATGGACCACTTTTAGACCAGACAGTATTGCTTGGTTTGAACTTAGATAAGATATATAGCTCTAATTCAAAGTGCTTTGCATGATAAAAAAACGATCTTAAAACCCAATAAGTACGTATTTATAAACAAAGACTTTTATATTGCAATGGGACAATCAAGAAAAATAATAATTTACAATCCAGATTAGAATTAATGATATTGATATTCAAAGGCAACTTTAAGCAAATGCATTTTTTTGTGTTGATTTAAAGGAACTTTGTTCCCTAAACACACTGTATCTCATTGAATCATTTTTTTCTCATACACTACTCAGAAAGTACAAAAATATTCTTTTTTTTATTTGTAGTTTGTAGAAAATTGGGGTTGTAGAATATTGCAAGAAAAAAACTTGCTCTAAAGTAAAGGTCATCTCATGAACAAACTGTTATTGATAGAAATATTAGTTAATACTATTTCTATCTACTGGTATTACTTTGGTCAGATGTAGCACATTTCTTTTGTCATACCAGATTTTGTCCTTCCACTAGTATAATGTTGTTCAGCAACATAACACTATGTGTCTTTTTAGAAGAATGGAAAATTGTTTCGTGCAGTGTTATACTTTCACTGACCATATGTGCAGCACGCGCTGTCAAAATATTTTCTGAATGTCCTTTGCCACATCTCACTGGATTTAAAATCTGTTTTCATAACACCACTTGTTTCTCCTCAGAAGTGAAGTAGTCGTCTGTTTTCTGCCTCACTTCTTGTCACAGTTTCTGAACCTGAGTCAGCCACTGGCAAACTCAGAGCATGCGATTGGCTGACAGAGGCAGTCACATGCCTCAGAGATACACTGTGTGGCTTCCAATACTTGAATATTTTTGTTGCAGTACAAGCAGGCTGACAGTGTTGGTATTTAACCAAGGGTAACATCTTGTAAGTCTTAAAACAGCAGAAAAGAAAAGAAAACAATAAACAGACTCAAATTGGTCATATACACTAAGAGATGTGAAATAATCAAAATGGAGCAAAAGCTAGATTTACTAAAACGAGAGAAAAATAAAAGTGACAGATGAAAAGGAAAAAGGATAAATGAAAGTGAACGGTTGAGGAAAATTCAGTGTTTTGTTGCTGCTGCTGTTCTGTTGAGTGTCCAGCCCTGCCTATCTGAGGCTATCAGGCCTATCAGCCCATCTCCCCGCAGTGCTGTAGTCAGCACTAATCACATTTTATGGCACGGAGATGAATGGGAGGCCTCAGCTCAGAGCCGAATCGATCCCAGGCCAGATAGACCAGTACCATCAGGCTGACCAACAGGATATTTGCTGTAAAGGCAAAATGACAGAAAAAGTGTTGGTGAAAAACAGAGGCTAATAAGACTGAGGAATAACAAATATTGGATTTTTTTTTTTTAATACATTATGTACACATATGAAAACAAATGGAAGCAAACAAACGACACAAACATATGTGGCAGCAGCAACTACTGCTGTTGTGGTCTAATGTTGTCCCTACAGGACTTTTAACAAGCGTTTTTATTTGAAGCTGTTTTTTTATCTGCCCAATCTCCTTTCTTTAAAAGGTCTTCTGTGATATTACTCTACACCTGTAGAAGGTGTTGTTGGTAAGTGCTGGCTTTGCAATTGTTCCAAAGTGCGTTTACAAAACGTCTATAGGCACTGTGATTAGATTTTTCAGTTTCCCTAAAATAACTAGAATTCACACGAATCTCCTTTAGTGTAAGCCAGAAACGAACATATGAAACAAAAATGCAGAAAATTAAACAGTCCAAAAGTGATAGCATGAATAAATAATCCAACCAAGTGTAGCTACTGTATAAGCAAAAGGCTGTGCTATAAAGATATCAGTGAGTTCCAGGGAAGAACTGGGCTGTTGGAGTGTTTCATCCAGCTAAGCCTTGCTAACTCTCAGCCTGAGCCAAGGGAATGGGGAACAGTAAAAGCCCGTGATATTGGAAGTGAGATGGCCATTTTGAAGGAATGTAAGCTGGTGAAACAGATTTGGTCTGCCTCAATCAGCTTAGCAGCTTTGTGAAAATTGGCTTCACTGTAGCACCGGTTATGATGGGTGGCTGGATGGATAGATGTCTTTTTTTCTCTACATCCTTCTTTTTTGTGTTTATCGAACCGCTCACTTACCTCAAAAAGCTAAGACTAATTCTGGTTAAGTTTGTTCCGTTGACTGAGACAGACTGACCACTTGACTCTTGGGCATGCCTACACGTAAGTCACTGTTATGCAAAAATAGACCTTACAGACATACATGTGTCACTCAGAGAGATATTTGTACCCCAGCATGACAAATAGCTGTTATGAAACATTCTGGGTTTAGAAAGGTTTGTCTGACATCTTTTGTCCTCGTCGGACCGTCACCTGCAACCTTTAGATATCTGCCTGGTCCAAAATACTTAAATCAAACTATTAAATTGTCTCCTAAGCATTCAGACATATTGTCAAGATGAAGCTTGAGAATAAGACACCTTTAAAAGGAACAGGACTTAAGTTGACATTCTTTATCTGCATCAGTAAGTGAATAGCTATGGAGACTGCTGTTAGTAATGCTAATTATTGATATAAGGTGCTCAGTAAAGTTTAAAATAACTCCATGGTCCATTTTGTTTGAACCTGACTGTCATGAGGACACCGGTGTCCTCACAGAACCCATGAATGACATGGAAATGTTTTGGGGGCGACAGTAAAGGGGTTAAAACTAAGACTGACATAACATCTTCTTATGGTGTTGAGTGAGAAGATCAGACGTATTTATTGGAGTCTAGAGTCTATCATCTTGGTATGGTCTGGTTATCTAATAAACAGTTATTACAATTAATGCGCAATACTTAATACTGACATTAAATTATTTTCAGACATAGTCAAGCCTTATCTAAATACTTTCTTTCTGTAAAGAAAGTCTAGAATATTTTCCTGTTCAAACGCAAGTAGTGTATGTGTGTGATTTCTTTTTAGAGACATTCTTAATGTAAGTAAGACCAGTTCAAGGATTGATCTGGATATAAGATATCACTGCTGACTTTGTTCTCATCTTTCAATGTTGTATTGATATAGTCATTTAAAGAAATATCTATTTTAGTTTAGAACAAATTGAACAATGCTCTTAAAATGGGATCTGTGTAAAAAAAAAATGCATCCAGTACTAATACTAAAAGAATGTTGATCTGACTTCCTGGAACCACTGTTTCAGTCCTGCTTTGCCTGGCCCATGCTATAATCAGAAACCAGTTTGTGAATAGACGTAATACCCCTCTAAGTAAGTTGACATTCCTTTCCATTTTGCTTTAGGGGTGTGCTTGATGTCAGAGTCTGTGAAGGGCACGGCTATGAGCTATTATCATAGGAGCCTTCGGGGAGCCATTCATAGAAGACAAGCAGTAAAACCTTGCACCGTGCGCCTTCAACTCCTCAAACTGCTGCAGGGGTGATTTGTAAGCCTGACTTGCTCAGAGAAGGCACAGTGTAAGGCAGCTACCCTCCATAGTAGGAGAAAAGAATGAACCAAAGAAGAATAGGCCATGTGTTATGTAGAACTCTCAAAGAGTCATCTGGGCTTCACCTTTTTTTGACAACGCTCTCCTAAATGTATGAGTTGATCATTCCAAAGAATGTTACAACTGTCATGAAAGCATTATAGCTCCCCCCGTTGGAGATATCAATCAGTCAGTGTTACTTTCCTACAGCTGTTGCTTTCAGTAGTACGGTTTAGGAAATTGTTATGAACTAAACAGTGGTCTGGTTTTGTTCAATAGCGAAGTAAATCTGAAGCAATGTCATAGAAATCCAGTAAAAAACTGTAAATGTGCAGTGACTTACCACAGGTTGAAGATTTCTGCAATATTATGTCACCTCTGGGACGACACCACCCACCTGTACCAATAACTGATGGGTCACATACATTTTGTCACTCTGTAGAGGGCTTTATATTAACTTTGCTTTACTTTAGATTTGAGTTTTAGTGTCATGTTTTGTTTCTTTTTCTCTTTCTGGTGGATTCCTCAACCCAGTTGAAGGGTTGAAGGGTTCTGTATGTTCGGATGAGATATTGTTTCCGTTGTATGGATTCTGTTTTGGCATTTCTTCCAGTCACGCTATCTGGGTTAATCTTCTTCTCCGTTCCATTGTTACTGCACGTTAATAACTTCAAGTTGTTATTCTTCCAGTTTTCTTTGTTTGACATGTTCTTACCGACTGCAGCTCACTTAGGACTAAGCACTTAGAACAAAAGATCAAATAAATAAACAAATTACACAAATAAAAATGACTCTTTTAGAGCCATTAGTATAGTTTGATATGCGGTTGCAGTCAGAAGCAGACTTAACAATTACCATGGATTTCATATTAAAAATGAACAAATGTATATCAATTAATTTGACCATTTTTGTAACGTGTTTAGGCTATATTTTGACTTAAGCTTTATTATTA